TTCCTGTGAAGCAAACTAAGTTGGACAAACCGGGGACAGATTGCAGACCCACAGGGACAAGCACGCAAGAGCGGCCCGAAGGATGGATAAGCTCTCGCTGATGGCGAAACATTACACAGCTTTTGGCCACGACGTCGCCTTCCAAGACGCCAAAGTCTTGGGCCAAGGAAGCGATCAAACGGTCAGGGAGAAGCTCGAAGCCTGGCACATCACAACTACCTCGATCAACCACTGTGTAACTTCGCTGGCGTCACACCACAGGCCAGAGACCGCAGTAGTCAAACCCAGACCATGTGGGAGCACGGAAGGGCATAGGCAAGCATCGGGAATAGATAAGAATAGAGGACAAGGGTGGCGAACGAAGACCCCGGAGACCGCCTTCTGGGTTCGAACGCAGACAGACGCGAGCACTCGGTAAGTACGCCCGACAGCGACAGGGCCCCCAGCCCGACGTCAGCACTGGCATGACAACCAGCGTCCACACGGTTACGGGCAGGTGGAACGAGGCAGCCAGGCGAGATACGTGGAGGGTGGACAACGGGCAATGCAAACAAGAGCAATGTCTGCGGTCACCTTGACGCCGCTCCCCTCCCCACCCCCGAAAAAGGATGAGAGGAAACCGATGTCGCCATGACAATAATCGCCAAACCATGTGATGCAGTGCACTCGAAGTCACTGACACGCCAGTACAAAAGATAAACTCTTAAATACTGTGACCTGCAGTACGCCACCAACCTCCGATGATGGAAGCTTGTTTGTTTTCGAAACGTCAGGCAAATATATTCGTGGTTCCCTTGATCGCCTTATCTTCACAGTTATATCCGTTAAGGCGAATTTTCGCTTTAGTAAGCAATATACAGTAGATGTGCTAACTCATGAAATGTCAAGCAAAATTTAGAAATGAGTTCTCGTTTCGAAAAGATAAATTAAGTAGTGTTGTAAAACAAATCATGATGCAGCATAAATCTATAATGATCCAGTAACCTCAGGCTTCATGCAAGATCTATACTCCGCAAAAAGGGCTACTTAACTAGTATGCAATTTTCTCTTTGATTTTCGATGCCCTTGAAAATTCAATTATATTTCAAGCTAAACATGCATAACAATATTCATTCTTTTAATTATTCGGTAAAAACTCACGTCTTTTTCCAATTTCATAATCAAAAGAAGGGTATGATTCCGTTTTAAAAACGTTTCTAATTCTCGAATAATTTTGAACCCTACCTGCTGTAGCACTTGAATTTAGGGTTTCAAAACTACAAGTTGTATATTTTCCGTGTACGAAAAACCATGCATTTCTCTACGGTGTTAAGAGGAGACCATATGTGGTTCATAAAATTAAGCAATATTGTTAACTTTAAAAGCCACATTCGTAAATGCAGATACATGACGTTTCATGAACGGCCGTTTAACGGTATTAAAAAAATCTCACAATTAGAAACTTTTCAAAACCGAATTATACTCCTCTTTTGAGTATGAAATTGGAAGAAGACATGATTTTCTACCGAACAAATAAAAGAGTGAATATTTTTATGCATGTGCTCCATGAAATATAAATGAATTTTCAAGGGTATCGAAAATCAATGAGAAAATTACATGCTACATAAGAAGTCATTTTTTGTAGAGTATAGATCTTTCAGGCAGCCGAAAATAAGTTCATTCGAAAGCCGACACCCTGAGGTAACTGGATCATTATAGATTTATGCTGCATCATGATTAGTTTTACAGCATTACTTAATTTATCTTTTCGAAACGAGAACGCATTTCTAAACTTTGGTCGACCTTTCATAAGTTAGCACATCTACTGCATATATAACTTAATTATTTCCAGCATTTCCTCCACAATGACGGAGAGATAAAACCGAAGGGTTGCTTTCTTTTGCTGAGTTATTTATTAATAAAGCCGAGTGTTATAGATTAGCACACTTCCAGCTGGGATAAATATCCCTTGGTCTCTCATATAGATCACCTAGCACAACTTTAATACTAACAAAGACACATGTGGCATTTGTTCGTTCACAAAAAGATTCTCATAGCGATATAATGTATACCTTGACAAGCATCGGATAACTTATTAAATTTATCTGGGGCTCCACAAGCTAAAAACATGAACTCGAAGATACGAGTGAATATTAGACGGCGGGACTTTACAAGGATGCATACACCTGCACATTTATCTGCAGCCTTAGGTTATGATTAAGAATATTCCAATGGCAAATACAAGAAAACCTGCAAAAGATCAGCCATATGCAATGGCTCATGTTTGGAGAAAACAACACAGTACAGCAAAGGTAGTGATAAAGAAAAGGAGGAGTTTACAATCATTGTATACAAGAGGGTAACATCATTCAACAAAACGCTAACCGTTCATAGTTACGTAGCCTAATATAACCTTAAACCGACCAAATTTTGTCCGCTTACTCATACCAACTATTAAGTTGGGTTGGTTGTGCATAGGTTAAGACAACAGGACCAAAAATTTCAAAAAGTGTGAGGTAAAAGTGAGACGGAAATCTTAGCGTGACTTCTGCATGGTTGGCTGAACAAGAACGGCCCTCGCACGGAAAACTACCATCCAAAACTGTTTCTGCTCACTTAACCGGAGTTGCAGGTCATCGTGGAATGACTGACAAGACAGACGTCTGTTCGAATTAGTAGAACACCCAGTTTCTCTTATAACATCATAGGGGTACAATGGATGTGCTTTGCGTGTTTTCAGCGATCAGGCATCGGCGATTTTTGAAACGATTGTGTAGACGCCCTTACACGGCGTCTGGCATTGTCGCTCGTAGACAAGCGATCAGCTGGCTCAGGACTCACTGTCAAATCATTGAGACTATCCCTCATCCCCAAAAGCGCTTCTAAAGCGAAGATTTCACATCTAAGTGATTTACACTCATTGTCTTGTTAGTAAAAATGTGGCCACTCGGAGAATTTAAAAAGATCAGGAATTTACATTTATGCCTATTCATAGGTGGAGTGCAGATAATTTATTAAATTTCAACTTTATTTTTAAAAATAAATTATTTTTGAGTGTCATTTATTTACGGTGTTTTCGAGGCCCGTCCTTCAGAATGCATAGAGTAACCGGCCATATCGGAAAGATAGATGAACGGTTTTGTACTGAAATGTCAATTCTCTGAATGCACGCATAAATGGTATTTTGCATCGACAATGCCAAGGGTAGATCAGGAGATGTTGTGGGTTAATATCCTATCGCAACACTGAGTAGTTCAAAGTTAGTTCAAAAATGAATAATCGATTATATCAGTGATGAATCGTATTATCCCCTTTATTATATGCTGTCGTGTCTGCCACTGCAGACACGTTTTGATCTTCGCGCAAGCAATCTGAGATGTTGGAATATTTGCTAGTTCCTTTTTGGAAGTTCTTACTTGCCGGTCGCCAGTCTTCGTTCACTAAATACTCTTTATATCTTTGTGGACTTGTAGCACTTCTCGTAGTCTGTATCAACATAAGTCGTATCAGCAAATAATGCGGTGTTTCGCATATCAAAGCCCAAAGTTTGTCATCAGGATTTACTTTCACATTTACTGAAATCGAAATTAGGTGCTTGACAGTGGTCTAAACGCAGTAGGTACATTACTCCCTGAATTAAATGCACGCTCGATTTGTTCATTGAGAGTGAAGCTGTAGGACGTTTGCGGCGACTTGTTTTACTATAACACGTCTGTTTATAATGGGACACATCTGGTTGCAGGAACAGTTAAAATACACCGTCTTGGTTGATTTCTGGTGACCAGCCGAAGCGCACAAAACTAATTTCTAAATGCAGTTGTCAAAATGAACAACGGCTGCCTGCAGAGTCGCCGCATCCAGAAATATGAACAAATTATTGTACTTTATGGGTATTTTATTCTACATTATCTCGAATAGATGTGAACATCTTGCAATATGTTTTACCAAATAAGCAAATAAGCATATTATACCCCTAGATTTTATTTAAAAACAATTCTAACTATTCTTCCGCAACGTTTGAGATGTTTAACCACTCATTGTTAGCCTTTGTACGAAACCACCAACTTTACTCTCATTAGCTTGCGAAACACATCTATCTGCTGGTATGCAACTTATATAAGGGCATTTTATGCTGCACTACAAAGTCGCCGAAAAAACGCTCATCGATGAAAACGTAAAATTATTTGCCTCTCATTTGCGCTTATGACTGTTGGTTTTCGTTAGGGTAAATATGAATAGACCATGCCGTAGAAATGTCCGCCGATTGGGATGTCTGCGTGGTAAATCGGAGTTTACGGCTGTTGAGTGTATTAGAAAATAAGTTGTGTTATGCCTTCAAAAGGCCGGTGAAATGAAAACGAACTCTAGCCGCCGGATATGTGGCTTTTAGCCTATCTAAGATGCATTTGGGGGTATGCTTTTTAAGCAAATAATTATTATGCTGGACGACAAAGTCGCCGAAAGAACGTTCAGAGATCAAGCCAGTGAAAACATCAAAACAATTTCCACTTATTTGCGCTTATGCCTATTATTTTACCCAGGGTGTATGTAAGTAGAATATATGCCCAGGCATGCCGCGGGACTGCTCGCAGATTGAGGTGTTTGTACTGCAAATCGACATTTTTGCCTCTTAAATTTATTAGAAAACAGGCCGTGTAGGCAGTTTTCGTGCTGCCTGTGTCATCATTACAAAGATACACTCCTATTATTTAGCACGAAAAATCTGTCAACACGAAAACATTAAAATCAAAAAACAGGGACGTGGGTTTAATTTTATATTTTGTAATTTCTGCCTTTGTTGTAGGAAAGTTTTCCGTATTCTGTCGCGTTAATTATTAGGGATGGTTGTGCTAAAGACTCATATCCGCATGTAAATCTGTGGCGTTAGCCCAGCTGCGACTCACCTTGATCGGCTCAATCTTTTCTACGAGGTCGTGATGACTGGTCGTGGCGTGACACCTTCGCCCATTGGCTAATCACCTGTATAAAAACCTCAAAGTCGACTTTGAAAATCAGACGAAATGAACAACGGTTCGACTTCATCTGCTCTGCTCTGGCTCGTCTTCGCACTTCAAGCCGTGTGTCAAAGGGCTCGTAAGTTCTATTGATTGATGCCTTAAAAATAGTTACTGGTCTTACAGGGGCATTTTTACGGTAGATTGTGCATCTCGGAGAAAATCCACGCAAACCTGCACAATAGGCTATTATTGTATGCCTTATGTTTTAAACGTATTGCATTTTGATGGCAAATGTTACATGCATAGCAGTGCCGAATGCAGTCAGTCACGCATGCTGCCTAAACGTGAAAAGCCGATTAAAATTTCCTATGTTATGGACTGATCTCTACCAGTCGCATTGATGGTAAATGAGCCACGCAAAATAGGTAAAACAGACAAAAGTTACGGATGGTTCCATTTCAAGCCGCGCAAATATGCTATGCCGAGGATAATATTGTCGATCCTTAACAGTACAAATCACATTGTCTCTGTTTCACGCTTATCGATTGGAAGCTTGTGGGCTGAAGTTCCCAAGTCAGGCGAATAAGGATTTATAGAGGAGCAAGTAGCTTTTACTCTTTCTAACGAATAACACATGTAAATACACAGAATACGAAGACGTTTAATGACGAGGACGTCATATTGGTGTGTTCTTATAACCCTCGTTTTGTACATTTAGACGCTATTCCTGCCGTGTGCAATTACACTTATCCGTATATCACAAAGGAATCTGGTCCGCTTAACATAACCGTATTAACTGCAAAAGAGCCAAATGTAAGTTTTAACTAGTTTTTTAGAAAATATGTTGGTCAATAAATACTTATTATTTTGCCTTATACGACACCGTTAGCTGGGCTGAGTTTTTTTGAACAATATTCATCCAAAAACACCACGAGCTAAATCAAATGATGTAATAGAATTTATGACTGAGGCAGTGTCTACATCATGCGCCACGGCAGGTTTAACAAAGAATCAAATTTGTAAAATGAACTACGTCTAGCGTTGTGGGAAAATGCGCTATCTCTCGATATCTGATCAACCAGATTTGAGAAATACCATTCTCTCTTTTCGACATGCATTCCAGAGTTGACGTTTTCTGTAGCAGATCAACGGTACTGTGGAACTAGCCTGACAGAAGAGAGTACATGTCAAAGTTAACACATTCTTGCAACGCACACACTGACGTTGCTTATGTATAGCCTTAGTAGCTCAAATTCGTTTGGGAGTGCTTCGTCTGAATGGATCAGCGAACGTTCTGATGTATGCCTGCTTGGGAGGGGTATATTTTTCCCGTTAGACTTTTTTCAAAACCTTGATGCTAAATTCAGCTTAAAATGATAAAAACGTTTAACATCTGCCCGCTTGCTCTCGAGTTGATTAATTACCTGCGTTGCACGGACGGGAAATCCCTTGTCAATCAAGAGCCGTCAAACATACATCCATTTTAACTCTTTTGTTTCATAAAATTCGCCCTTAACTGCCCATGTTATTCAGGAAATAAGGATTCACCAAAGAAAAGAATCATATTTGATCAAAAATGGCATGTGCGTTGACAGACTTGGTGTGAAGCCCTCGTTTCCTTGTCCCTACGTCTGCGGTAAGAAGACTCAAATGCGTAGTATATTTTCTATTTATCCTTTGTACCTTGTTTTTCAAATGCATTTCCTAAGCCGTGCTTATTTGATAAAAAGACAAACCGGCAGGCTGTAGGAGGTTCCAAAACCGTGATTGTCTGTTACGAAAATTGTGTGATGTCCATTTCTGCCCGTAAAGGATAACTGACTGAAATGCTATGCATATGCGACAATGTTGGGCGTCCAAACAATAACGTCTGATTAATACCTCCATATGTGATCACTGTACCTTACTTATGCATTCTCTGGGCATTTGTAAGACGGAGCAGGTTTAGCCTGTTGTGATTAATCCTATACCCCTGAAACCCAAACATATTGAACAATTGTGGTCTAATGTCTCGTTTGCTCTAAATAGTGTTACAACTAAACCTGTAACTTCAAATGCCTGCAGTAATAAACCGCATAAGGGCTGAGTTCCATATTCTGTCTGCAGTGTGAAATACAATATTTCAGTTCATTAGAGACGGCAAACGACAAATGCGTTTTTTCAATCATTACATTACAAAGGACTCGTTGGCCTTGAAACAAATACCCTTGACGGTTTCACAATACACTCTAATCTTTAAAAAACATGCTGATGCGCAGTCCACTTGAACAATCAGCTAAAATAGCAAATCTGCGCTTCATCTTAATCCATACAGTTAATAAAATAACCGAAAAATTTAATTGAAGTCACATTCCGCCATCCGTATTCAGACTCGATGATAAACAAGAAACGCCTCTGAATACTCCAAAAGTCGTCTGCCAACAACGCATACTGGTAATTATTTTTTAGTTGTAGCGTTCACCCGGAAGGCAGCAAGAACGATAACAATGACCGCGCAAGCAATACAGAGACTACTACCGTCGACACGAATTTGGACAGATGTAGCTACGATGTGACTTATGTAGTTCAGGCTATAATGAACTTAACCATCAGCAGAAACCAGAAGCGCATCTGAGCAAATACGTACAAAACGAGCGCATCAATCACCATACATGCAACTTTAAACGAATAACGTGGCAACGAGCGAACAGTAATCAAAAAGACGTCTTGACAACAGAAGACGAGTCCTTGTCACATTATTTGGCCTATCATTAAGCAGTGTTCGCAAACTACGGATTTGCGCGCAATGTGTGAGGACTGATACGTGGCTGCTTAAATCCGTTTTTGAAAAACCAGATTACGTAATACATGTTCGAGACCGTCAGGATTAATCACGTTTGCAGATTATTAGCGTAAACCAACGCATATAATTAAAACAAGATGGCGCGACATTTTATATTGCTCTGCGGCTCAATTCTGATGCTCTGCAGCCGTTCAGCAACGATCGGTTTGTCCGAAAAATTAATGAGACAACGATACAAATCCTTTGCATGTTACGTGCGTCGGTTTTCACTTATTCGCATTATGCATATGCGGAAGATGTAGTAAAGAAAGGCTGGCTGCATATGTCTACTGCAAAAGATGTCAATAACGGTGTATAAGACGACTGACTTGCTTTTTCTTTTGTCTATTTTCACAGAGACACATTTTTGCTTCCTGACCATCCAAATGGCCGAGGTAAGCGGAGTGGACGCAATCTACTTGTATTCCCACTCCTATGAGCATATAGGAGGCGTGTACAGAGAAACGGGAATTTACGCAAGAGAAAGTGAGTGTACTAGCTAGGTCCTCTTTAACAAGACCGTTCTTTACTTAAATCTATCTTCGCGAGTACTTTGGCCTTTAAATTTACACAACCGAAATTCGGAGTAGATTTAAAGGCAAATTCATGCGCACGTTTGCACATTAATGCAAATCGTGACTATATTGTTTTTGCCTACGTTAATTATAAAATAAACAATACTTCAATTTTAATTTCCTTAGATGCGTAGGCTCGTGAACCATCATGTTTTTGCTTTACAATTAACATTTTGTCCGCATTTCCTTGCAGGTCACTTTGATCTACAAGGGCCCGTTGTGCACTGCGTAAACGTGCAGGATTTCGAGATTACCTGGAGAGTAAGAAAACCAGCAGGCGTTGATGTGGTATGCACCTTTAAATTTTGCCTATGTTAAAGCCCGGTACACGCGGTAGACGAAAAAGGCATTTTTCAGATACGTTAAAACTAAGAGGATCATTCTCCTTATAACATATTTTCATGTCTTTGCCTGACATTAACCACATACCACACGCTCTCTTTTACCCAACAACTGGATTTGTCTAAAGATGTCATGCGCATATCATGGATCATTTGATTTGCGTTATGCGAATCTAGAAGGTAATGATTTTGTCTACCAAACCATTTATTTTTCATATTTTATTTTTAAAGCATAGGGTTCTCATAAGTGCACTTCAGTAATTTCTAGAACTCATGAATTTTGCCAAAGATCAACAAATTAAAAAAGCTACAAGCCAACGAAATTTTTTTAAACTCCCGGAAACCTGTATTTACGTGTTTGTCAAAACACCAGCCACTGCCGTCTTTAGTTATCATGCATAAATATGTTGACATAGCAATAATAGTCGGGTGTTTCTGCATTCCGATATTAATTTTCGCGCATTCGTAGCGTTGTTAAAAATTATGCCGATAATGGGTCGAAGACAGGTAGTAAGCGGAAAATAAAAAATACGATAAATAAAGTAAGGCAACAGTATGTACGAGTTTAAGCAAATCCGTCTAAACAAGAACAAATAATAAAATAGCGGCCCTTGTAGACGCACCAACCGGGAGTCTTAATCACCGACGACAATTTTTTTCTGGAATGATTTTTATAAGTTGTTTTAACGCATTCGCCTCTTGCAGTTATTGACCTCATATAATTTATATACCTAGATAATTTGCTATCTATATGCTCCGGCTGTGTCTACGTAGTATGATGTGGACGTGCCTCATACAGAGTCAAATTAAACTATATTTGTCAGAAAAATCATGGCGGTCCTCATAGCGGATGCAATTTTAAAATGTGTACTAATCAGGCACATAGCATGTAAAGCGCATAACAACGACAGAGTTATTTATGTGTTCGCATCCAGCAGCAGAATTGATGCGGAGCAGTGCGTCTCACTTGTTGCATTGATTCCAAAAGTCACCTGACGTGCTAATGCTAATGCCATTTGCCTTTAGTTACCATTTCTTTATTACAAGAAGACATCTAAGTTTTGATTTTGATGAGGTAAATTCTATGGCACTTCCCTAGTATTATAATGGGACAATGCTGATATTGATGTGAAATAAGCCGCACACAATTAGAATGCATAGAGCTTTATATGAGTGATAACAAGTGGATTCTGAGACGTCCTGCGCGTACCTGCAGGCAGGCCCTGCTTGTCATGTGCATGAAAAATTGCCTTACCTCACTAAGCACCAGCTTTCGAAATGGATAGCACAAATGCATGATACTTATTTCTGCCAATATTTGTTCTTAACGTAACACGCCTGTGCTTACCAAGTTTATATTTATGAGCGAACTGAAGTTATGATTGTGTGTTAAACTTGGACTAAAAATTACCAACGTACTCTTTAATCTCAGGTCAATTAAAAATATATGTCTTTATATCCTTTTTCATTGTCTTCTGTCAATAGCAACCTTGTTTAAAAATACGCACGATGTTTGTTTTAGAAGTAGTTCTCTTTTGCGTCAATAAAGATCAAATATTAGCCTGGATATTTTAGAAACCACGGAACTTCAGACTGTTACTGTGGCCACTTCCTTTCGAAATGAAGCTTTTAAGGGATTCACCTGCTGGATAAATGTGAACAACATATCGGTGGCCGTGGAACGCTTCGTCTTATGGCTAGGTACATTTATTTGCTAAGCATTTGCATGCATACGTTTCAATTTTTCTAACATGTCTATTATTTTAGGAGTTGTTTGTGTTGACTCTCACAGGCTGCTGGCTAAATGTACACTTGTTTGATTTTGTAAGAAACATCTTCTGATAAAGTACCTGAAATTATGCAACCACTCTTTATGGTCTGCAAAATATTATGGTTGTTAACTACCTAATATTATTCTATTCCATTATTATTCTAAACAAGCTTATGCTGCGCCTGCATTGCTTTTGTCTTTATCAAATAAATGGCACGACATTCACGTCTTATAATTGTGACATTAAACTGAATCACAGGTACACAACCGCAATTTGACCATCTGTGAGCTAACATTCGCTTACGCGTTTGACAAAAACGTATTTATACTCACTACAGATGTCGCATATTTTGAGAAATCTGGTCAACCACAAAGACGATTGGTAGGCCCTGAAGAAGATGAAACGCAATTGTCTTGGAATTTTGTGATTTCCGCACCGGATATGGCGCATGTGAGGAATATTTTTAATCTAAAATCGCCATGCAGTTACTGAAGATTCCTACTTTGCTCATGAAAAAAAATTTACAGTAAATGTAGTTGTTTCACCAAAGCCTGTGAATACAGATTTCTATTGACCCGCAACACTAATGCGACATGCCAAATGATAGGTTACAGTGTTCGAACTAACGCGGCACCGCTTAATGATCAAATGTATCCAATTAAGAAATGAACTCTTTTAACTATTGCAATTTGCTCACGTTTTGCATATACACTCTGTGGAATACAATACTTTCGAAACACTTTGACCAAGGGTGATCTTTAAGTTCCAAAAACGTATGACAAAGCCATAAACTGATAAGCAAATGAGCACAGGCTCATAAATGAATACAGAACATATTCAAACATATTTTTGTTTTCATTTGCAGCACTTCAGGTGCCTGAGTCACGATGGAGTGAAATGTACTGGCGTCACAGAAGTTCAGAAGCCGGGAAAGTGTGGTGAGTCACCTAGGCATAGTAATGACATGCGTAATTAGGTACACTTATTCAGCACTTAGAATGCGTTCTACTGGCCCCAAAGTACGTTGTCAATCGATTATTCTTGATTTGCACATGCACCACGTGGATTCTAAGAGCGTCTCGTCTTTTTCAAAACTCTGACCAACAGTGCAACGATATCCGTAATAAAATGTCTGCAACCCAAAGCAAGAGATTAAAGTGTGCTTTGGTTGCCTAATTTAAATTAATATTCCGATTGCTAATTCCTTTGCTAGAAATTGAACATACCGAGACAGGGATGAAGTATGCGGTAAGGACGAGCATTGCCGTGAATGACTTTGCCGCCTATGTCTGCTACATTGACAAAGAGGTATCTGCCCAATCGGTGTACAAGCTTGGTACGTGTTCTAGCTTTATTTGGAATATGCACCTTTATAATTTAGAAGGTATTTTATTTGCAGTTTAATTTGCTCGAGTAAAGGCATCTTGAGATTTAAGTTGGATAACTAAAAAGTATGATAAATCTTCCTAAAACTACACATCTCATTGAATAAATAGAGGGTGTATATGGAATGTATTACTGGAAAGCGTGGATGAGAAGTATATATAGAAAGACAACAGAAGAGTAATCGAGAGAACAACAGTTTAGCTACTGAGTACGTTTAATACTAGTTGCTTTAATGCAAAAGATGGTGTTATTTTTACGAAACTATAAATTCGCGATAATATTTACGCTACGATGTGGTCATATAGCCTCACCTGATGGGGACAGTACCGTTCGGATTGAAGTTAAGGGTTAGCGTTAGGAGCTAGACTTACGGAATTATAGTGGGTCAACGTAAACACATCTGACCAAATTTACATTTAATTCTTTCACCACGGATGCATTTCGTTTTGTAATCGTTTTGCGCAAAACTTTATTTACATTTCTCAAACGATCGTGCATGAGATTCCCTGATGGACGCATAAATATGCAATCGCCTGACAGCTTGGTATTTTTTCAGATTTTTCAGTTTCTGTGCTGTGTTGTTATGTCTTTGGATAGTCGAACAGGAGGAAGTTAGTAAAAACATAAAAATCTTTTTTTTAGGTTCGCATGACCCAAATGGCGTAAGCGCTCAGATTATTGAAGCGGAGATTGTTATAAGATTAAACGGAGAACAAGTTCTGCTAAATGAGTTGGGAACACATTATCTCTGGCTTCAGAACGTCCAAATTGAAGATGTGAAGTGTACGAAATACGAAAACAAATTCACTTGCCGCCTGTCTCCGGATAACCTGAAAATATACTGGATGGTTGCCGTAAGTCGCAACTTGCTGAAAACATATTCAGCGTTGCCTACTGGATTCCATGTAAATTCTCAGATTATTTTGTCAGTACATGTTATTCCTTTTTACAAGGCTGTACATAACTGCTGGCTAGGAAACAAAAAAATAATTGCATGCGAACTTAATGGCGTTATCTACTTAAACTTTTTGCCATTCCAAAGACTGCATGCGATCTTTCACCCACAGGCTACATTAAATCACCCGCATGTTTCGTAGGTTTTAAACGCTTTATGAAAAATGTAAATCTATGGCGAACAGAATGCAAGTATAAACCCGAACAACATTCAAGCTATTTCATTAAGTTCTAAAAATAGATTTCCAGTTAGTCAAAGTTAATAATCTTCCGTATTTGGAAATAACGGACCTGTATTTATTTGCCATTTTCTTATGAAAACAAAGGAAGGTATGATATATATTCAAGCCGGACACAAGTTCATAATCTTTCAACATTTAAGCTTGAAATGAGTGCGTTCTGTAAACGGAGGCCTGATCTCAAAATCAACCTGATCGGGGACTTGCAAACATGAGTATGTCAAAGCAGGTTATAGAGTTAAACCGTCGCCAATATAAGCATGTTCCGAATGCAACATAGCACTACACAAATCTCAGTATTCATTACTATACAAAACAACACATGGCGAGCACATATTCAATGCATGCGTGCGTTTTTCATAGAACGTTCCGGTAGTAACTACGTGTCCTTTTAAGTTCTGCAATTAGCCTCAGGCAACACTTGATACCTGAAGTTAACAAAGTGACTTTTTCGGTGATTCATCACCCGGGCAAAAACTTGCATATGAAATGAATAGTGATAAATCGACTGGGTGTATTAGAGTCTCAGGTTTAACTGGCACGCGTCGTTTCCACACAGGCCGAATGAATACGTGGGCGAATTCCAAAGGCTCACATAGTTTTGTAGTAATGTTTGTAAGCCTCGCACGTGGGGTACGGACGACTGTTATTAGGTAGTTAGGGTGGCGTGCAATCATAATCTAACGTCGTCGTTGGCTGCGGAAGATAGATTACTCGTATCAACTTCTTTGGAATGCAAAGCGTTCAATTAGCCACTGCCTTGGCTGTGGCTAGAACCTAATGTAGGAGGACTCTGATAAAGTTTGCAAGTGTCGGGTAAAAAAACCTGAAAGGTTCCTTTAGCATTGACTCGGTGATTTACATCGACTTGATGCGCAAAAAATAAGGCACCTCTGTTTGAAAAGCTGATACGTCTTTTGAAAACGATCTTCTACAAAGTTCTTGTTGCACGGCCAATATTTCCCGATCCACAGGAACAAACGAATGGGTAAACACACATCTATGTCGACTGCAATGGTAATCGGCCTTTTCTTGCCTAACCTAGAATTTTTAATTTTGTAAAACATACGCGTGAATTGGCTGTAGGCAAAGTGTACGGAGTTTTTTTTCCTAGACCTCGTCTTACCAGTTTGCTCGCCGTAATATGGGTCTCATGAATAACTGAAACCATAGGATTGCCAATATGACATTTCAAATATCTTCCTTTCTGCCTGATATGTAGCCTAATTTGTAGGAAACACCCTCTGCTTGTTCAACAAACCTTTGCAATTCAACCAAAACTTAGGTTTGCGTGGTGAGATTGGGGCCACGAACACTTTGTGAAGTGAAGCTTATAAGAATTCAATAATTGGAACGGAAAGCCTTTTGTGCAGATTATTAGTTGCAAATATGTTGCAGATATTCTCACGACCAGATGACTTACATAAATGCCTTTTGTAAATTTAGGCCTACATGGAAATTTCCTGTGTAGTCTTTGCTAGATTACCACCTCAATTAACAAATTTTATTCTTTCAAATTATTTTAAGAACGGCAATCTGCATTCGATAATCGACGTATTATCCGTCAACGAAACTCTTCGATTCACGGGATCGTTTGGAAGCTGCATTACGAGAGGTTTCTCAATAGACATAGATGGAGACGAAAGAGATGTCAGATACTTCCACGTCCTACACTACCAGCAAGACCGTCTGAACACTATGGCAATGCTGTCAGATTTTCTGATGACCGTATTTAGTTACGACTGCTTCGCGTTCCGTGACTTCACATTTTAAAAAAAACGTATTCTTGGGTACGCACGGAATAAAGTTCATTTTACAGACCTGTCTACTCCACCATTCACTAACGTTCATTGTTATGTTGGTTTGTTTTTTGGATTGAAATACAAAGGATTGGTTTTCGGTGCAGCAAAACATCGTAATTGTTTTCATTTCAGATAAATTACGTGGTTGCTTAATAATGTAGATTATCTCAACATTGCGCATTAAAATCAAAACACGTAGCGCTATCTGCCTTTAAAAAACCCCTGTGGAATATATTTCTTTTTGGCATTCCTGGTCTTGTTGGCGCATATAAAAATTTACTATTTGTTTAACATAAACTATTCAAGGTAGGAAAATTCCTGACTATGAATCCCAAGATTTGATTGTTACTACCCCGAATAAATGGCGGAATGTTCAGTGTTACTGGGTTAGCGTTACTGACAAAACTGTCTGCGTCTACATTGAGGCAGCTTTTAAGCGGCTTGAATCCTCAGCTTAACCTGTTTAGGACAGTTTACCTAGCGCCGAATGCCAAAATACCTGTATGGTATGGCTAAAAAATTTAAGCACATCAATTTCTCTTTATTAATCTTCAAAAGTCCGCTTGATCGAGTCACTTAAATAACGGTTTGATAACAAAGACGTTGAAATGTTTGAAAGCGCCAGAATGAAGAAATATAGTGCCAAGAAATTGCATTAACATACACATATGCGAAATTTTGAGAAAGTGCTCAATTATTTTTCAGCAAGTGCAAAATGCGACAACGTATTGAGAATGCAGTCCTGCCAAGGTATTACATAATCTTTAAAGTTTTCACTTTCATTAAGCATCTACGCATGTAATTTCGCGGAAGAGAATGGCTTATCTTGCACATCTCAAGTTTCTGGTCGGTCTCTTTAGGCGTATATTTCATACTCTTTTGCACTCCCATTTAATGATCAATGAATGTTATCATGTTTTTCCTCGTGAATTTTGACAGAGCATCTTTTGGCTCACTACCGCGCCTAATATAACATTATTGCCCAAATGAACTTATTAAAATCCCCGCGGCTGATATTTCTCTGTTTGCGGAGACGGCGTCGTCAGGTCCGACTTCAAGTATCCAGTGACACATGACCACATAAACGAATAGACGCACGCCAAAATAGTCCGGTACTACCGCTTGTTCCTAAAGTCGGCTAAGGGGAGATACTTTTCCGAAGAAAACATTCCTTTCAAAGGCCGCGGCAATCTTAGAAGGAGCTGGCACACTGTAAATGTCAGAAAGCAACTAGGTCATTCAACTCGAAAGTGTATGCAGCCACGTTTCGGCACAATCAAAATAATTTCCGATTGGACGGTAATATGTAGGGATCTTTAATGCAGGATATACACTGGTGTTTGTTCTCCTGGCAAATGTCATTGAACTTAAAACTGAGCTAATCTGAGATAGACAGGGTCATAACTAGAGTTCTATGAACGGCTCATATATTGTCTTTGGCTGTTTGGACACATGCATACAACGGTGTCATGCGCCCCGTGTTTGCCAGCAAAATAAGGCCCATTGGTCCCCGAAGGCAGACAAACTGGAATTAATTTGTTCACACATAAGGAACATATTCTTGATATCTTTGCTGTACAATATTTGCTGGCTTTGTCGTCAACTGTGATAGAGATAAAATATGAACGACCTCTCAGTCCACGCCCTGGTCCTCCCAGGTCACTAGTAACAGATGCGTCATGGGCTACTACGCTGGTGAGGCAGGGTTTGTAGGGCGGACTTCGTGTGATACGCGATAACAGCCCTCAGCAGTTCTAGGAACTTAAAGAGTGTGCGAGGTTTAAGGTAAAATAAATTTAGCCCGAGTCGCCTAGTTCTTGACAGTCTAATTCGTACGCCATCACTGCTCGCAAAACAGGTGGTGTGGTACTCACATATGTTGCAGGACATACCTTACTGGGGAGCACAGGAATACACAGAAAGCCGAAACACGCGTTGAGCCGAGATTTTGCCGCTAAATGACAGAACTGTGAGGAGTTCGATTGATCAGTGTGTCCCCAGAATTTTTTGTGTGCTTTCTGATAGATATTCCATTTCGAAATTATAGTTGTAACCGATGCATGGATCCCTAGCTAACTATTGATAGTTGCTGAATATCACACGGTCATTTCGCCATAGCTGATGGACCTCGGTTCAAATATACATATCAAATTTTCGTCTGAGCTTCTAGGCCGTTATGCATAAAACAAGCAACATTACCTATTTATATCATACGACCATCATTGTTACTTTGCACAAAAGTGCGCTAACTCTATACAGGAGTCCAACGCAGAAATAGAATGAATTAGGATCAGTGCGCGGTAAGAATAATAAAGTAACAGCAAACTTAACGCTTATTTGAGAAGTTAAAGTGATGAATGCTGAGCCTAAAGGCCAAAAAATGAAGACTGATGCAGATGGAAAATAAACGGTCAGATTTGATAGAAATAAATGCGGAACGACCTCTCAGCCTAGGCCATGACATGCCCCATCGCCGCTGTTAAACATGTGTTATGTGTTAGCACACTGGGGTTTGCCGGGTTTGTGGGTTAAGAGTGTGTTTTCTACGCCATAACCTTGTCGGTCAGTGCACTGCCGTTCATCTTTGCTTTTTTACAGAAGCTCTACAGACTTGAAAATTATGCGAAGTGTAAAGTAAAATAAATGTAGCCCAGCTGGCCTTATTCTAGACCAACTAATGCCTTCGCCATCACTGCACTCACAGAGGACGGTAGCGTACTTTCTTAGCTCGCAGTACTTACGTTACTCGACAGCACAGGCACTAGCAGAAAGCCCAG